GGCTCAAAGTGGATTAAAATGGCCTAACATTGACTGGCTCCTTGATGTACCTACAGAATAAAATGCTAAAATGTGGCAATTAGAGAATTCCAGCCAAAGTGCACTCTGGTGGACAAGGATGGTTTAATAAACCACTGTGTTCTTTCACTTTGAAAATGAAGACTTGGCTGTGATTTATCGTTCTGTTAAGCCTGGCAGGTTCTCCTCCTACACTGTTGGTGGGAATGTAATTTGGTGCGGGTACAACGGAAACAGTATGGAGATTCCTTAAAAAACTAAAAACCTATGTTTTTAGTTACCATATAATCCAGCAATCCCATTCCTTGGCATATATCCAGAGAAAATTCTAGTTTGGAAAGATACGGGCACCCCAATGTTCATAGTAGCACTATGTACAATAGACAAGACATGGAAGCAACCTAAGTGTCCAATAAAAGATGACTGGATAAAGAAGTTGTGATATAGATACACAATGGACTACTACTCAGCCATAAAAAAGAATAAAATAATGCCATTTTCAGCAACATGGATGGAACTAGAGATTACCATACTAAGTGAAGTAAGTCAGACAGAGAAAGGAAAATACCATATGATATCACTTATATATGGAATCTAAAAAAAGAACACAAATGAACTTATTTACAAAACAGAGATAGACTCACAGACATAGAAAATAAACTTATGGTTACCAAATGGAAAAGAAAAGGGGAGGGATAAATTAGGAGTCTGGGATTAGTAGATACACACTACTATATATAAAATAGATAAACAAGGTCCTACTGTATAGCACAGGGAACTATAGTCAGTATCTTGTAAAAGCCTGTAAGACAAAGAATATGAAAAAGAATATATATATGTATAACTGAATCACTATGCTATACACCAGAAAATAACATATTATAAATTAATAATACTTCAGTTAAAAAAGAGCCTGGCAGATTCTTTTCTGTCTAGTTTTATTATCATTTTGCCAGTTATATATTTAGTGTAATATCAGGTAATGGTTAAGTATTGTTAAACTAGCAAACTGGGTCTCTTTGCCTTTAAATCTATAAGTGTCACAGAATGTGTTCTTCAGCACAGTGACACTATTATATCAAACTATTTAGCTAAAATAAGATGCATTGAAATATAAATTTTTGATCCTACCATTTTCTGTTCTAATTTTATATTGAGCATCTTCATAGTAAAAGGTAAGTCTTAGGTGAAAGCGGTCATTTTCATGATCAAATGTTTCCCTTAAGTCCATTCATTTTCATTTTATTCCATAAGCAGTGACTAATTCTCTCTCCTCTATCACTCTGCCTGGGGCACTGTTAGGTAGCAGGGGTGCTAACTGGAGAGTCACATTTAAACCTTGTATGACGAGGGAATGTGCATTTGACCATTTATTAAGGGAATTTGCCATGTTTGGTACATTACATATGAAGTCCTTACAACATTCCTCTATTACACATTCTATTATTACTATTTAATAGAGGGAAAACAGAGTTCAGATTTTTGCTGAAGTCACAGAGCTGTGGCTGGAGATCTAAAGGTCCTTCTCTCTCCAAAGCGTCTCCTCCTTCTCTGCTGTGGTGGGGCACACAGCTTCTTGGGCAGGCTTGCCTGCAGAGTTTTTCTGGGTCATCCAGATTTCAGAAATGAGGAAACACTGAGCCTTACCTACAGACCTTTTCAGAACTGGAGCATGTGACTCATGCAGCCCATGGCACCCACTGGGGCGTTTTGTTGTTATTTTTAAACACTTTTCTTAGAATTTCACTATTTCTTTCTCTGCTGCAACGGCAATGTTTTCAAAAGCGTTCTAATATTAGCAGCTGCCCTACATCTTTTAAACACTCTTACCTGTTCTGTGAATGTAGGTTCACAGATTTCGTTCTGTATTAAGCCAGCTGATTATGAAATCCACGTATCAGTGAACAATTTCTTTATACCTTAAATATCAGAATGGGGGTTGTGTGACGCCCTCCAGATTACGCAGCGGTTCAACGTGCCTCACCTATTTGGGGGGTTGCCCCTTTGGTTGCAGAGTTATTACCATGCAGAGCCTCCCACGTTTATTATCAATCCTTCTCGTGCTTACTGCTAAGCAAAGGACAGAATAAACAAAGGACAGAGCGATCCAACAATCACTATGTGAGTAGTGGGAAATCGGTGAAATGAAAAACTTACTCTTAGCCTTTGAAAGACAGATTTGTTTTTTTGGCTATAGAAAGATTATTTTGTAGGAGACATGAGGGAAAAAGAAGTGGGCGGTTAAAAGAAGGGTAATTTTACAGTTTGAAGTCAATTTGTATTTTTATTCTGTCTTAGTGAGTTTTAAGGCACTACCCAAAGGGTCAAGATTATGCATAAATTGAATTACGTGTAAAAAAATTAGATCTTTTTAACTTAAGCTTCAACATGAAGAAATAGGATATTTTCCTACATGGAAAAACTAATTCTTTAGGGATGGATAATTAGATCACTCATACTTTTTCTTGCTCTTTTTTATTTCAATTTATGACAAGATAACAAGATTTACGGTATCTCACCAGAAAAGCAATCATGGATACAGAAGCACACTGGGGAAATATTTTGTTTTTCAACCGGCTATGTGTTTTACCACATCTACTGGGCTCACATTGTGAAAGGAAAATCATGTAGTGTGTGGATTTATAGCTGTAAATTGGAAAAACTATCTACATTTCAAAAGGTGAAGATACAAACACATTTTTTTTTAACCCCAGACTAATCATTAAGTCCAGCATTTGAGCTAAGATATTGGTCAGTCAGTTCTTAAAACCATTAAATAATCTCCTCAAAAGTGAGGGAAAATAATTCGCATGGTATTAATGGGTGGTTTAATCTGGGACTAATATCTGAAAGGAAATTGCTTAATAAAAAGGTTAATGTCTGGGTCTCCAGCGGAGTATTCAGTTTACTCTATTTTGCTCTGGTGTATTTTTAACAAGAAATTATTTGGGCGATCCCACACGTGGCCAAGTCCTTGTGATTTAAGGAGTTTCAAGCCAGTTAGTTTTTCTACCCCTATCTTATTAGTCTGCCCTTTGGCCCTCCTACGTCTTGTTAGCAACAATCACACTTCCAGACAGTGTAGGCTCGGAGGGAGAGATGGCCGTAAAACACCGATCTTTACTACACTGATGGAACACAGGTTGAACAAAAACCTACGGATTTTATGACAAGCTGCCCAGTTTTCCATTCTTACAGATAACTGGAAACTGATTATGATTAGATGAAGTTCATTTTTCTCAAATCTCACATGAGTAGCGTCAGTTGGTTACATCTTCCACCGAGATCTCATCAGGGAATCAGAACCTTCAGCCCTATTACCCTGTCTGTTCCTGCTCGCTGTACCTGGCTGAGGTCTACCCTGAAGGACACTGAAGACAGTCAGGTCTTCCCGCATACTCCTGTCTGAAGGTGCTTTCTAGTCTCCTCTGCAGCTAAGCCTGCAGTTAATCCCTCTGGGACCACCCTCATCTCCACTTTCGCTTGTCTCATGGAAGAACAATTCTGAGTTGTCCCACACAGGCTCTCTGTGGTCCCAGCAGGACTAAGCTCCAGTTGCCCAAAGAAGAATGATCTCATTAGTACACCCTTATTAATTGGTTTCCTTTCTTTTCTGTCTTATTTCTCTACCTCTTCATCTTGCTTCCTGGATCACCTTCCAAAGAAACAATTTGCATCTAAACCATTGTCTCAAAATCTGTTTCTTTATTTTTTATTAGGTTTATTTGTTTGTTTGTTTATTTATAGAGGAGGTACTGGGGATTGAACCCAGGACCTTGTACATGCTAAACACGTACTGTACCACTTGAGCTATAACCTCCCCCCAAATCTGTTTCTTTAAAAAATATTTAATTTGGGGGGAGGGGCACCCAAATTAAGACAGTGATTCAGAAATAACCTTCTCTATTTATATGAAATGTCCAGAAAAGACAAATTTGTGGAAACAGAAAGTAGATAAGTGGTTGCCTAGGGCTGGATGTGGGAACAGGGATTAATCTTAAAGGGGTGTGAGAGATCTTGTTAGGGAGGTAAAAATATTCTAAAACTCACCTGGTATGGTTGAACCACTCAGTAAAGTTACTAAAAAATCATTAAACTGTACACTTGAAATGGGTGAATTTTATGATATGCACAATATACCTCAATGAAATTGTTTAAAAAATTACTTTATCTTATGTGGAGAGATGATATAAGACCTATAGGTGAAGTGCTCAAAGTTACACAGCAAATATAGGTCAGGGAAAAAGAAAAGAGTCTCGGGCCTTTGATTACTGATTCATTCCCCCCTCTTTCTTTAAAACCTGAATGTTGCCATTTTTATTTTTATTTTTAAATTAAAAATTTTTTGAAATTGAAGTATTGTCAGTTTACAGTGTTGTGTCAATTTCTGGTGTACAGCATAATAGTTCAGTCATACATATACATACATATATTCATTTTCATTTTCTTTTTCAAGTTGTTGACTATAGTTCCCTGTGCTATACAGTATACACTTGTTGTTTATCTATTTTATATATAGTAGTTAGTATCTGCAAATCTTGAACTCCCAATTTATACTTTCCCACCTCCTTCTTGATTCATCAGTGGACTAATGATCTTTCTTTAACTCATTAAAAATTAAAGTACCTGAAAAAGTGAAAAAAGCACCAGTTTAATCAAATATCAATACATTCATGACACTAATTATAACAAGCATCATTTACTTAGGGCTTACTTTATGTTAAATAATTCACCTAGATTATTTCATTTAATTTCACAAATGGGCCATAGGGTTGGCATAATTGCTATCTCCTTGTAACACATGGAGAAACAGAGCTGGAGAGAGGGTCAGTGACTAAAGCGGAAATTTGTCCACATTCGTCACCAGACACCAGAGCGCATGCATGTGCGTAATGACTGTATCCCACTGCTTCTGTGGGTGACTAGGATTTACAGCGCCTCTGACCACTGCGGCACGACCGAACGAACAGAAAGCTTCATACCTCACTGTTGAGTTTGTTTATCTGCTGCTTCGTCTCCTCTGCTTTGATGAAGAGGACAGCGGCTCCAACCTCTGGGTCTGAACAAATGACATACAGCATGAGTCCTTTAGGAATAAACCTCATATATGAGGACTGGGGCAGCTCGGACAGGGAGGGAAGCCCACGCCACCTTTCCCTTTCCCTGATGTCTGGACACTGCAGGTTCTGCCTCCCTAGTACTCCTCCGGGTGCACCTGACAGGCTGTGGAACTAGGCCCACATCACGGTGGTGATCGTGACCACACTCACTGGATGCGTCCAGGGCAAACCTCCCCGTCTCCTGAACACAGTCACTACCATGTGCCGAAATGGCATATCTTCTCTTCTTTGACCGTTTTCTAAAAGTATGTCACAGCCAGTGTCCAAGCCATGGAAGAGGGACGTTCTTTTTCTCCTTTCTTTCCTTTCCACATTTTGATTTCTGTGCCCATGAAAGCATTTTCCGCCCACTTCTGTTTCAGGTGTTTATCTCCACTGCAGGTTTTCTGTCTCCTCCTCTGTTGCTCTAAAAGGTAATTTCTCCCATTTCCTGGTTCTCTCATCTCCACTTTTTCTCTACCTTACTTTTGCAAATGCATTCATATCCGCCAGGAACAGAAGCAAGGCTGGGTCATTGCTAGCTGGAGTGGAAACGGTTTGATTTATATATAGATATCTGTATCTGTCATGTATGTACATATGTATGTCCTAATTCTAGTTAATTGTCAGTAGAAGACTTATTGTGGGTGAAAAAAGTCACTCAAAACAATCCGAAGTGGCACAGTAGTAAAAGCTCATTTTGCAGAGATATTTTGCAAAGTTAATCTACTTATTCCACGAGTGATAAGAGGTCTTCTGCAATGGGCCAGGCCTCCTTTAGAGGAGAGAGCAATGAATAAAGAAAATGTATTGACCCTCATGGAGTTTGAGTCTAGCATGGAAAAGAGACATTTAAAAAGCAACTATGCAATGGGTTTGGATTTCCTACCAAGGACAAGTAGGGATCCATCTCAGGGATTTAAGCATTTAAGAGTAGAGTAATAAGAATAAGTTTGTGTTCTTTAAAAAGTTCACTGTGTATGGAGAACAGTGTGAAACCAGAGAAGAGACTGGTAGCAAGGCAGGCAAGAGATGAACGTGGCAGGGAAAAGGGTGGTGGCAGTAAGGACAGAAAGCTTTAGAAAGAACTGAAAGGTATTTAGGAAACAGATCAAGGGCATTTGTTGCTTTAATGGGGGGGGATGTTGGGGTGGATGTCGGGAAAAGGGAGATGAGGAGACTGAGGGGGTGCAGGACCAGAAGCACTAGGTGGATGGGCAGGGTGAGTCTGTGAGCCAGTGAGGAAGACTTCCAGGTGGGACCCACCATCAGCTTCCACAGCAAATACTCACACCTGCTTAACTATCTCTACGATTTCTGTGCCCCTTTGCCCCAAGTAGAGGAATATCAACACGTGTCAGTCCATTAAATGAATGAATGAGGATTGTGGACTGACACCTGCCCGCCTCTGCTCACCTTCCCCCCATCTCACCTTCGTCCTACCAAGGATTCTTATATTTCCATTTCCCTAGAAGAGGAGGACTGCTCAGAAGAATTGCTGATTGAGATAGAATTCTGGTATTCAACCAAATGGAGACACACCCCTAGAACTGTACATTCAAAAGTCTTTCTTGGGCTTGGCTTTGCCTATGGAAGGATGTGCTAATTAGCAGGAGATCGTGACACAAGGATCCTAGAGCTGGGTGGGAAGGGGAGGAGAGAGCCGGCAGGGGACGCTGGCCTTGCACCTGGTGACTTTTGGATCGCCTATGCCTGTTTAACGCTAGTTCACTATTCTCCCTTCATCAACTCCAGGTGCGTCTTCTAAAGGAGTTGTCATTTCTAGTCTACATCATGTTGACAGATTCCTTTTTATGGGCAATGAATTCAAGAATAAAAGAGAGAGGAGCCTGGGCTAGGTTTGGGGGTACCCTTGCATTAATTCACCATCCTAGAGGGGAGTGCTTCATACAGTTCTCTGTCATTTCTGACAGCCTTATGTACTTCTGAAGATGTTTATTCCTGAAAAATTGCAAGTACATAACCTCTTACCCAATAAACTGGTTAAATACAGCCAACCTACAATGCAGAACCAACACAGCGTTTCCTTTGGGTAATGTTGTTTTCGTGGATTAGTCTGCATTTTTAATAGGAAAACATGGTTACCCTCTGATGAATAGCAGAAATCTGAGTCTCCTGACACACCGTTTCCCTGGGCTGGTAAGTGGCAAGGCATCCAGCCTGAACGGAGGAACAGTTACAAACGCTATCTTAACAGCTCGGACGTGGCACAGACTCAGGGCAAATTATTCTATGGCTTTGGTATAAAGTTCTATCACATGGAGAATTTTCCGAGAATGGGAAGGCAAAAAGGTGCCTGAACTAACTACTACAAGTGAGAAAGAAACATCACCCCTTGAGAGAAGACTAAATATAGAGCTTACCTCCGAGAGGAGGAGATATTCTGGGCTCTGGTCTAATTCGTTCCGAGACAAAGTCAAAAGTCTGGCTTTCTTCACTACTGTTTCCATCTTCAATTCCATCAACAACCCTGTTTGAAATAACAAGGTGTGGCTAGTTGTGCATTTATATTCATTGGTTCCAATATTTCTAGAAGACTTAAAAAACCTTGCATTAAGTTTCTAAACTCCAGATACTCCAGAGCTGTCCTACCTAATGTGATATGTAAGCCATTAACCCTCGGCAGCTGCTGAGCACCTGAAATGTGGCTAGTGCAAATTGAGATGTGCTGTGAGTATAAAGTTCATACAGGATTTTGAAGATTTTAGTAAAACACAATGTAAATTATTTCATGACTAACTTTTTATATTGTTTACATTTGAAATGCTAATATTTGGAGCATACTGAGTCAAAGAAAATATGTTATTAAAATTAATTTTGTGTGTGGGTTTATGTTTTTAAAATGTGGCTATAGGAACATTTAAAATTATTCATGCAGCTCACAATTTTAGTTCATGCTATAGTTCTATTGGACAGCAGTGCTATAGATCTTAAGACTCTTATTTATCCTCAGATTCAAAACCTTAAGCTACAGAAGTCTTCTTACCTAAATTTTCATTGATTCACTACTCTATCCAGAATGAAAATGTTTTAACCTAATGATTACAGAATCACAGAAAATGACTGTGATGACACGCTGGCTCTGGACTTGGACAAAACTCTGAAGTGGGAGTTGAAGAGTTATATTTAAGTTACTGTTAGCACTTTAGCTAGTCTCTTTTCTTGGTAAATAATATCTAACCCACTCACTAATTTAAAAAAAAAGGCATTTGTTGTAGAAAATGTAAACATAAAGGTAACAAAAGTCAGAAAATAAAAATCATCTGTAATTCACCACGACTGTTGACATTTTGGTGTGTGTCCTCAAAATCTTTTTCTATATACAAAATAAGATACATTTCTTCATAAATGTAGAATCGGTTGTACACAAACCTTTCTTTCCAGCTCTGATACACTTTCCGCCATTTAATATTTATTATTTTTCACTTTAGTTAACATTTTAGGAATAAGAGTTCAGTGATGTTTTGAAATTACCATCTCCAACTGAACTTCTGAATATTTAACGTCCACCTACTTTTCACTAAGCTTGTTTCACTTATTTTTCCCTTAATTGCGGGTTTTGTCCAGCAGAAGTCTCACCACGGAAAGACGAAATTACTCAAGACTTTATCAAGTCAAGAGAGTGAGAGTGAGCCGGAGACCAACTCCCCGAGCTCCTCCAAAGCTCTTGTATTTATTGAGAATATAATTTAGTAAAAGCAATCCTTACAATATCAAAGTTTGTTAACCCAAGTTTGCACTCCCACACTTAATATTTTTTCTAAATTGATAAATTGTGTTCTTCAGATGAGTAATTAAATACATAGCACATAGGAAAGATCTCTTATCTTGTAAGTAGAAAAACAGAATCTGAATCCATATTTCAGAAGTCAGATTTCTGAGATTTTTGAACCAAATACATAACCTTCAAAACACTTAACATTTCCTACAACTTTATATGAACTACTTTATAGGATTTCTGAAAAGACTAAATGTAATATTAAATGAAAAATTACCAACTACATGAGGCAACTACACTGTTTTTTTCTTATGTTTATTTTTTATTTAGTCGTTTTGCAACAGGAAACTGTCTACCACTTTCACATTTTCTGAGTCAGGATTTTTTACTGACTCAATCATCGTTAGTCAATCCTAGAGTGAATTTTTTAGCATTATAAATAGCAGCGTCCCATATTACCTACTAAAGAGGCCAGAAATAAAACTAAGCTTCGAGCATCCACAGTAATGAAGCAAGTATTACAGGAAATGAAAATCAACACTTCATTTCCTTCATAATTTCAACTCATTGCTCCATGAAACTTGGTAAGATCAGACATCCGGGGGGTAACAATATAGACTTTGTTCTGTCTCTTTTATTTTCATTAGACATTTATAAATGACAAGATTACAATGTAGAAACAGACATTTATAAAAGTAGGTAGAACTAAATGGATGAAGGGAGAAAAGAAGGAATTTTGAACATTTAATGGACCCCTTTGAGACTATGACTAAAACGATTTATTCGCGTACCACACACACCTCCATGCAGAAATGCACACATAATTTAGGAAAGCTGAAGTATCCCTGGGGCAGAAGGCAGAGAAGTCTGAGTAATTTCCTAGCCAGGTCCTAGTGTGACCAGAAAGCAGGTACTTACACTTGGAAAAGAATTATATGATGTGCACTCTTACCTTGGACTGAGGTCTGGGGGGCCTGCGTTACTCAGCGTAGAAAGTTGCAGCTTCAAGTTCTTCTCGTTTCTCTTGCCATGGTTAGGAACGTCAGTGAGCTGTTTGGTTTTGGGGGAATTCGAACCGGAGACTCTGATAGGTGAGTGAAATGGCACCGTCCCTGAGGCCAGCTGCTTCAAGCTTAAGCCAAGGTAGCTTTTGTTGCCTCCAGCCTTCTTGCTGCGCGAACAGGAGGACCCCCTGGTGTAGATGGGAGAGAGGGAGGCAGTCTCGTCTTCCTCCCCCTCCTCCTCCTCCTCCTCCTCATCTTCCACAATGGATGGGAGTCTCTTCTTGATGCTGCCATTCCCCTTGGGCTCTGGCTAAATCAGAGGGTGATACGGATGAGCACAGATGGCAAAGACCTCTCGAGGGGCTTCTTATTCATGCTGTGGGTCCCCCCTGAACGAAGCCAAATCCCCTGGAGACTTCCTTCTCTTTAAAACTGAAGACTTTGCAGATTTGGCTATTGATTTACTCAGGGGTTCAAAGTCTCCCCATTTCTGATCTTTGCTGGATTTACTCTATCTGCCTTCCTAGTGTTGGCCCACAACCCTTTTCTTGGTCTTTTAAGCTTGCTTGGTGGGGAGCTATGCAATTTTATCAGGACTGCATCTAGATTTTAACCAGCCTGTCATTTATAATACTATGTGATGGCATGCTTTTATGAATAAGACATTTTTAATTTTACTGGAAGGTCTTAGGATATTTTATTTTATTTTATTTTCATATATCCTCGTCATTTTATTTTTATTGAAGTGTAGTTGACATACAATATTATATAAGTTATAGGTGTGTAATACAGTGATTCACAAATTTTACAGGTTATACTCTATTTATAGTTATTGTAAAATATTGGCCATACATCCTGTTTGCACAGTATATCCTTGCGGCTTATTTTATACCTAATAGTTTGTACCTCTTACTCCCTGACCCTTATGTTGCCCCTTCCTGCTTCCACCTCCCCACTGGTAACCACCAGTTTGTTCTCTAGACCTGTGAGTCTGCTGCCTTTTTTGTTATACTCCTTAGTTTGTTGTATTTTTTAGATTCCACATATAAGTGATCTCATACGGTATTCAATATTTGTCTTTCTCTGTCTGACTTATTTCCCTTAGTATAATTGGGCCTTGATATTTTAAAGTTACAGGGTCCTCAGTGGAACTTTAGGTGGAAATCAGCCAGCAAAATCACATTATTCTTGAGAATAGAACTCTTTTCTGTTTTGGATCATAGATGAAGGAAGATCAGAAGTGTCCTAGGCTCCTCCGCCTCCTTCTCTCCTCGTTCTTACAAGTTGGGTGGCAGGAGGTGGGGAGGACCATTTGATCTGCAACCCTAGAGGAGCCTCGGGAAAGGAAGGAGACTCCTGTCAAACCCCATCGTAGGGCTCTTGCCTGGGGTCATTCAACTTTAGAAGCTTAGAAGAAGCAAAGGAGAGGATGAGAAAGGACAAAGGAGGTGATGAAAGGGCAGGGAAGGCAAGGTAGCAAAGGCTAAGCTAATGGCCCTCAACAGAGTCACTGCAACATATACATATGTGTATGTTTCTTGCTCTGCCCAGACATGGCTTCCCTGCTCGAAAAGGTCAACACATTATCTGTGCCTTAGCTTTTTTTTTTTTGAGGATGCAATCCATTATACCTGCTTATCAATAATTTCTAAAATAAACCAAAGTGACCTAAGGGTACTGTGTAAAATCTCATGAGCTGTCATGATTATTACTTCACCCTAATAAACAGCTGGTTCCTTGGTATATGTGAATTTTACCATAACAATTATAATGATTGATGTGTATATATATAAAATGTGTGTGTATATATATATATATACACACACGCACATATAAAAAACAAAAAATGAACTTGAATCTGTAGTGATTGACAGGCAATAAATAGTCCATTCAGTTTGGGCCATAGCTGTTAAATGAAATGATCAGTTCACTTACAAAGTTTTATTTTATATTTTAGTTTTAATGGGTCAAAATGTATTGAGGGAATGAAATTATTAGACTCATCTTTTCAACTAGATATTTTAACTAATGGTAAAGCTGTTAATTCTTTCTTTAAAAAATTTTTTTGGGGGGAGCAAGGTAATTAAGTTTGTTTATTTATTTATTTGGAAAGTACTGGGGACTGAACCCAGGACCTCATGCCTGCTAAACATGCGTTCTACCACTTGAGCAATACTCTTCTTCCAAGCTGTTAATTCTTTATTGGCTTTTGCTTTTATTTGTTTTGCTTTTTTTGTTTTGTTTAGTTTTTGGGTTTTTTTTTTTGCTTCTACTTTTTTCCCCCACAGCAGTTAAAAATTCTGTGCTTTTAACAAAAGTTAGACCCAAATGGAATTGCACAGGAACCTCTGTATACCAGTATTTCAGAAGAGAAAAATGCGTTCACCCAGCTAAAGACACAACAGGGCAAATTGATCAAAGAAATGAAAAAGCATTCAGTGCATTCTCTAATTGGGCTTCTATTTTCATTTGCATTGGCAATTTAATCATTCCTTTGTTTCAAGGAGACGCCATCAGCTCTAATAGAGTCCTCTGACTAATAACCTATGAGATGTTTGTCCTTCTACAAGTTTGTTTAATTCTCACACTTCCATCTTGTTGCAGAGGCTCGGTGCCTTGGACAAGTTGCTTAGCTACTGCCTCTCGTGATCAGGGCAGCCAACATCATTTATACCAAGAATTAATTAGCCCATGTACCACCACTGCAGACAGGACCCAAATTTATCAGTTTATTAAATATCCGGCCCCACATGCAGCCTCTGTATAGGAGGACCAGTTACTTTCTTTGGGCCGTCGGTACAGTAACACCCTCTTCCTGTGTGGCTGCCTTCACCTGTGTGTACATGGCCACAAGGTTCAGCCACAGATCTTTTCCTGCTTTTCTGACCCATCCCTTCATTTTCTCCTGGCGAAGTCTTCCAAGAGGGCAATGAGATTTTTGTCCCCCATAGTCAAAGGAACCTCTAATTTAGCTCATATCATTTGGCTGGGACGGTCATTTTAAACTCACAAATGATTCAATGAAATCTGTCTTGACTACAAGGAAAGCGGAATAAAGTCCAATGGCTGAACGCATGCACTCTTGATCACACAGTCCTAAAAGTCCTGTGACTTACTAGCAGCAGCCTTGGTCAAATAATATGAATGTCTAAAGCCTAGGTTTCCTCATCTGTAAATTGGCAGTTGTGTGAGGGAAAAAATAGATATGAAGTAATGGAGGTTAAACACTTTGTGATACGCACTGGATGTGCTTAATAAATGTTTGTCCTTCTGATGACAATGAGAATTGTGAAGAAAATGGAAACAACACTGAGATCCGGGCAGATGCTACAGAGAGTGCTGGGAGATTTTATATAGCCTCCCCTCCTTTCTTAGTTAAAAGAACTCTTAGCAATGCACCTTGCCCGAAGATCACCTTTTTCAGCTTCCCTTGCTACTTGGTTTGGCCATGAGGCCAAATTCTCGGATGACAGTGTGTAACTGGACAGGTTATAAGGAAATTTTAGGAGGGCTCCTAAGAAAGAGGGAGCTTCTGTCTTGCTCTGTCATATTTCTTTAGTTTCTGGTCTGGAATAGTGATGAAACAAATGGATCCCCAGCAGCCACCTTAGAGAATGAGGAGATCTTGAAGGAGGAAGGCATACGTAGAGGATCATGAAGCAGAGGGGGAAATCTCCAGACCCTACTGACATACTGTTACATTGCCCACCTCTAGCCTTGCTCCTGAGAGAGAAATAGGTGCCTATTATTTCAAAACCTCTGTTATTCTGGTGGTTTTGGTATTGCACATGGATTTCAGCCTTAATTATACATAAAAAAATTTTGAACAATGTTGCATTCTTGGAAGGGATGTGCATTCACAGAGAATTATGGAGGGATGAGGAATTCAATTTGCAGAATCAAAAAGAAGGCCGAATTTCTCTTCACGAGAAAGAGAATACAGGAAAGGCCTGGAGGAAAAGTGGTACAGTAATGAGGAAAGAGTTCAAAAATAATAATCATTTTGCTTGTTCCTGAGGAGGGATTTTGCAGAGGGGAGTGAGAACAGACAGCTAGTGCCAGAAACTCGGTTGATAGCACTGAGATGTTTCAATGGCTTTAAAAAAAGTTTCTCAAGAGTGACCCTGTTTGCTCCCCACCTGCAACCGTCTTCAGTTAATCATCAATGTCTTTGAAACGTATTATGGAATTGGCTTTATGTGGGTGCCTCTGCACGCGTGTGTTTGTGTGTGTGTGTGCACGCATGCATGTGAAAGTTGTGGGCTTCTGCTTCAAGGAGAGTGCAGAGCAAGAAAAGGTGCTGTTTGCAGGATGATAGGTCATAAAAGTTTGGGTAATAAATCTGACAAGTCACTGTTTGGAGGGAAAGTTTGCTGTGAAATTGTGAGAGGTCTTAAAATTTGGGACTGTCTTAAAAGCCTGGTAGTTCTAAGATCGGTAGCTCAAGACTTTGCTACTTTGGGCAGGTTTTGGAGACAAAATGCTTCTTAACAATAAGAAGACCCTTAAATAGATAAAGGAGTTTCAATGCTTCTCTATTCCCAAACATCTCTCACTAGGAAGTGTATCAGGGGAAGTCAAAAATGAACACACAAAATCCTCAAGAGGGAGACAGATTTGTTGGAAATCCCACAAATTTTAGACAAATGTTTTGCTCTCTGGCAAAAGCCGTACCTGGGAGACCGTGGATTTGTTTGATAATCTTGATATCACCTGGAAGAACAAACAAACAAACAGAAGTTGTAATAATCATTTACACCTGAACAAACAAACAGAAGTTGTAATAATCATTTACACCTTCCCACGTGGTTCTGTTAGGTCGTCAGCTAAGTGGGGGCACCAGACAGATAAGGCAGAGGAGAGGGAGGGTGGTCTGGAAGATGCCCGCCTCCAGCATCAAGGGGCTTTGCTTCCTTTAAATAAACGCCAGCAAGAAGCCAGCAAGAAACCGGTTAGAACCCGACAGCCGCAATTGTGGGAGCGCAAACCTGGGTTAACACACTTTGATACTGTAATGATTGCCTTTACCAAATCACATTCTCACCTTTATGCATCCTCACCTTTATGCCAGCACATAAGAAATGTATACTCCAAGCCAGTGCTTTCTCTGTTTGTCTTTATACGGCTACTTCAAAGCAAAATGTCTAAGAGCGCAAAAGACTCAGCTCTCAGTACCAGTCACCGCCTTACCTATGGAACTGAGCTCAGTTGCCTTGAAGCTGCTTTGCTAGCAGGAAATCTGCTACAATCTGTCTCCTTGCTGTAAAAAGCAGAGACGTGCTTTGCTTGCTTTGCTTAGTTCAAGGTCATAGATTCAGGGCTGCTTGTGCTTGTGGAAAACCGTAACTCGTCCCCTGCCCTGACCGGCAGGACGTGCTTCGCCCATCAGCCGTAGGCGGACAGCGTGCGCTGCTCTCGCTCACAGAAAACTGTGACTTGGCCCTTAACTGGGGACAGCTGGGCTGCTTCGCGTACTTACATGATTTCTGATCGTTGTATAGAGACTCTGTGGTGGTCCAATTTTCATTATCAATTGTTTGGAACACTGTAACCTTGCTCATGATTGTTGGAGGCTTAAAATAACCATTTGTACCATCAGTATTGTAACCTTCTAAGTATAAATTAAGATGATAATATTTCTGTTTTTCACAAACTGAAACTACTGACCTGCATCCCTGCACATACACCATGCCCCTCACTCACTCCTGTGACAGGTTTTACTTCGATTCTTTGACTATTCTCAATAAACACAAGAGCTTTGGAAGAGCTCGGGGAGCTGGTCTCTGGCTCCCTCTTCCTCTCTTGACTTGACACCACTCTTCCGCGGTGGGACTTCTGCTGGACAAAACCCACAAGGGAAAGAACCAACAGCAATGACTTAACCGGACGTGATCAATGCTCACTGTATTATAATTAACATTGCAGTTAGGCACCCCGACCCTCCGCCTTGGGTTTTGCTGTGTGCGTCACCGGTAAGGACATGAGCAAAGGGGCCAAACATGACTCAGCACTCCAGGGGCAAGAGCTGTCAATCAATCAAGAGACCACCTCTAAACGAGGGTGTCAGAAAGAGAAAAGGGGAGACAAAAACTGCCGCTTTTCCTCCCTTGGCTCAGCCCGCTTCCCGTTCTTGGAGACGTACTTTTCTTTTTAACTAAATCTTTGAAAATCTTTCACTACATGATGCACCACTGCCTGACTGTAAACGTATCTTTCGGGTAGGCAAGATCTGGGTCTTTACTTTTTAGGGTAACAGTTTGGGACTGGGTGAAACATAGGCGGCAGGGGACAGAGAGGCAAGTTCAGAGGATGTGGGGGGCATCTGGCCCACACCCACCCCTGTAGGCCAGAGAAAACGCCTCCTGAAAGATGCTGGAAACACCTCCCACATGCCAACCACCCAGGAGCTCTACTGACAAGTGTATATGACTGAAAAAAAAAGGAACAACAAGTTGACTGTCTAGTATGGGACACCACACCTAGGAAACAATGGTCACAACAGACTCATGGGCTACAGTTTCCATCTTGATGCTTTATTTGCTCTCCTTTTGTTTCCTATGTCCTTATTCCTCTTTCTCGCCCTTTTGCTAAATTATCTTCCATGATTTTTCTCTTGGCTCTGTGAAAACAGAAATGCATAGAGTCTTTTCTTATTTAATCTCATTTCTTTCTATTTATCCATCTCCCCTTCTTACTCGACCACGGTGGAGTTGATGAAGCCTTTCTGTCCCATTTGTTTTACTCCCTGTGATGTTCCCTGTGGACTAGGCTTAAGTTCACTGGGGATCCTAATCCTCAACTTAATTGATTTTAAGATCCAATTGATTGTAAAAAGCAAGAAAAATGGAAAACAAAATGCTATCAATCAAATTGTGACATGCCATCAATCATGAGAGATCCCTATTTCAGAGATGTTAAAAATGTAAAAAACAAATGTGTAACATAGAATCACTTAAGCTTGGATCTCAAAACACATCTTGCATAAAATCAAACTATGAAACTGAGGAGGAATACATTGAAACACTGCACCTTCCATGATGCACAAAGAAAGCCAGGAAATTGTGACATATCCTAGAAGTACACTTAAGTCTCAACCACGCTGTTTTCTGCTCAAACATACTTCTTTCAATTTAAAGTGGTAATAGATGCTATAAATTAACATAATTTTATTCACATGAAAAAAAAACTTACACTTGAAAATGATCTGCCTGGTAAGTGAGATATATTCGGTAATTCTGTCACCCCCTTGATGTTTTTTTCTCCTAGATGATTAGGGAAGTGGATCTGTTATTATTTATACAAATGCCAGCATCATTATTGCTGTGCAAATATATGTTTCATCAATGTTTAATTTTACCAAAGCAGTCAGCCCATTCTACATCTGTTTAGTTGCCTAAATATGCATTAATCAGGAGCATTGTAGACATAAGTTTTGTCATAATTCCCTAAATGGTGACAAATAAAACAGCTGAATAATTAAAAACGTGACAAATAAAACAAAATTACAGTGCTGTTGCTACTGCGGTAGACATAAAAATGTGTGTTTTTTTAAAAAAGTCTTTCAGTTACAGCTTGGATGAGAGAAAGAACATCCCAATAGTATTCAAGAAGCCTGAATAAACCGGCTCAGAGACGCTCGCTAAGGTATACGTGGAAGGCACTGGCCTTAGTTTCTTCTGATGTGGGTGTGACTCCCAGCTCCCTGGTTTACTATTAGAGTGAGTTCTGCCAAGTTGCTGAACCCCAAGACTGTTTTTCTCTATCAGTGCTTGAACTTTTATGTGTACACAGTCCACCTAGGGATGTTAAAATGCAGGTTCTGATTCAGGAGGACTGGGGTGGGGCCCGAGACCCTGCATTTCCAATGAGCTCCCAGGTAATATAGCTGTTGCTGGCCTATAGGGGACACACTTTGAATAGTGAGATATTATGGCCAATGTCACTCTTATTAGCATCCTATAAGCTATCAATTCACTAAGTACTCACTATGTGATCAGCAACTGGTCAAATGCTCCCCAGCCATTACTAATGTTCATTGCAAATCCTGTAAGGTAAGTGTACATCATATAGCCAGCACTACCGTAATATGCCCTCTGAATAAATGATTTCAGTAACATACAGTGTTAATCACATGCACTGAAAAAAGAGTAGTATGATATATTCATTCTGTTGACATTAATACTTCATGCTAATCCAGATTCTGCCAAGTGCAGAGAATATTAGTTTAAGGGAAACCCAGTATTTTAAAGCTAGAAGTGACCCTATAATGTCCCTGCTACAATGGTTTGTACACCTGGCAGATAATAGGATGCTCTCAAAAGCGTTCCTTGAAAAAGCAGACAGCAGAGTACCAACTCCAGCAAGTCCCTTGCAGTCAGTGGTGGGTGGGACCCAGGCCTCCAGCTCAAGTTTGAAACCACCGAGTTAGTCCACCTCCCTCACTAGAGATGGGGACGCTGTGGCCCAGGGAGATGAGGCGACTTGCCCGATTTATGCAGCAAGTTAGCAGCAGGGCTCCTAGCAGAAGCCGTCCCTCTTGACTCTTAGTGTATCTCATGCAGGATCATGAGTTTTCTCAGGTACCTTCCCCAACAGTTCATGCTGTTTCTCGGGGTGAACGACTAAATGCCTGGCATACTGTGGAATTTAATTCAGTTCGATGTGGTCCCAAAGCAGACCCCCAAAAACTCTGGACACTCAGTTACCCAAGCACCTCATTAACATTTTCTGAGTCACAGATGTTTCAGGAAATCTGATGAATTCTAGGCATTCTTTCCCTGGGAGGATGGGGGTGAAACACATGGATACAGCCTTTAAATGGAAAATGTTTACTGATTCGACTCTCTTGTTCCAGCAACTAGAAGACTCAAGGTTTGTTTTGAGGAAGACGGCCATCCAATTTTGAGTCCCTCCCACATGGAGTTTCTACACCTTTTAGACAATAAGAAGAACTGTGGATGGTTTCCAATGGGGGTAATTTTTAAAAAAGACTGAAGTAATAGAGGTTGGGAAGATAAAGGGAAGTAAGTCAGACACAAGAGAAGGAAATGAGGTCATTGCAATAAAGTCTTGAGAGAAATCAAGATGGTTGAGGGTCAGCCCATTCACACCTTAAGATGGTCCCCATCAGCCTGTCAAGGATGGAGGAAGCCCTGTGTGGGCAGAAGGGCTGGGGACACGGCCAGGCACAAGGTTATGAACAGAGGCGAGGCTTCCTAACCTCGAAGACTGGGAAAGAAATGTCCTCGGCTATAGCACGTTGGTTTAAAAACTTTCTCAATAGCCTTTCTTCTTTCCCCGTCCTAACCACCTAAATGACTCCATCACTCTGTGAGTCCAGCAGGAACAGGGAGGGGAGACGTGTAAACTGAAAAACTACTGCTCACTGGCATCCAGGACCAGGAGAGAAATGCTCTCTCTATCCTCCTACAATTTGCTACAAAAAAGAGAAACAAATTCACAGCTTTTTAACTGTGCAAAGAAGGCTTCAAATTGTACTATGGAACTTGAATTGCGAATGGAAATCAAACATACTCAAATTCATAGTAATTGTAGAGGTGAAAAATGCCCACTGCATTCTTTAATGTCTGTTTTGTTGAATGAAGACACTTCTGCGGGAGCTTTCATGGGCTTATACCTGATCTTGGCCATCCAACTCGTTTCTTCCTTAAGTTCTTACGTTTCTCAACAGTAAATTTTCCTGCTATTAGGAT